GGTGCTAAGGCATCTAATTAACTTTCTCCCATCCCCGAGATGCAGCCAGCCAGAAACAATAATCAAAGAAGATGTATTGGTGGTGCAGGGGGCACACGTGTGGCCAGCACCCCTCTGCTCTCCCGGCATCGGCGGGGGCTGCGGGTCCTCCCAGGGCCAAGGAGCCCCCCAAAGCGGTGCCTGGGGGTGAGGGACTCTGAAAGAGGCAGTTTTACCCAAAAGGGTGTTTGGAAAAGGCTGTGGGTATGAATGTGTGTTTCTCTCCGGGAACGTGGCTTTGGGCCATTTACACTGATTAAGTGGTTTGAGACCTCATCAATATTAACCACTTTTAAATGGGTTGCTTGTTAATATCTTCAAACTGTTTTTCTCTGGTTCTTCCTCTTGGTCTTTCCGGTTTGTCTCTCGCCCTGTGCCAGGCTGGGAAGTTCCTTCAGGCGTTTCCTCAAACTAGTGCCTCCAACTTTATCTTTTTCCTGCTGGGTTGACTGTATCCTTCACCGTTTGTTCAGCTCATGCCTGGCTTGCTCTGTTTTCAGGAGGCTGACAAACCTGCTTAGCAGGCAATGAGATACAGAACAGATCACTTTAAAGGACAGATATATTTTTGAGAAGGTAAAAGAGCAGAATTTAAACTCAGGTCACTCCAGGGATTTGTTTTCCCACAAAGTCAGGAAAACATGGGTTTGATAGGTGAAATATCACTGGATTTAAGTGGTTATACAACGTAGGCTGTCATTAACTTCCTGTGACTGGACTGCACCTTGGCAAAACTGTCTTCATCAATGAAAGAATTTCCTTTGATAAAAAACAAATTTATATTTGTGCACCATATGACTGAGAAAATTACTGGTGACTGCAAAGCAGCCGTGGGATCTCCAAGGCAGTAACCTTATTCTGACACTTGCTGACGTAGACAACATTTTTGGAGTGTTCAGCATTGAAAGAATCGGGAACAAGAGGCACAATCCTTGGAAACATGTGAGAGGAGAAAAACGGTGTGGTCCAACAAGAAAACATTCATTGGAAGTGACTCCCTGGATCCTGTGAGAAGAGCTCACCAGACTGCTCTGTGAGGATGAGGAGGAGCAGGAAGAAGCACAGATGGGTGGATCGGGTCTGCTCTTGGCCAAGAGGGCAGGATTGAGACAGTGGCTTCACTGAGGTTTCTAAACACAGTGCCCAAAGAAGGACCATATTGAACTCCTGCTCATGGCAGGCCCTTCTTGTGCTCCCCTGAGCCAAGGAGCGGTGTTACCCCAGGGGTATTTTGCACTGATGCTGAATATCCCCGTGAGCACTTGCAGAAACCTCTCACTGTGACATCTTGTTCACTCAGCTTTCACATGTAGCCAAGGAATAAGTTCTCATCCCTCGGAGAACATCCCGTGGGGCTGTGCTGGCCACATTGAAGCACCCAACCGTGCTTGAAGTTCTGAGTTGTTGAGGTGGTGAATTGCTGCAACCACTCAGAAGCTCTTAATAAAAACAGCACATGTAATTTACTGATATAAAGTATTTGTATGACATGTTCAGTTTCTAAGGTAAGATCTTATCTGAGCCCACTGTCCGGAGTTGCGCTTTGAAATGTTGGTCAATGCACTATGTGGTGCTGAGACAGAAGGGCTTCCCGTCTCTTCTCATACTGGGCAAGTCCAGGTAGAAAGTGCTGGTCAGGCTGCAGTGACACTCCCCACAGCTGCCTGTGGGGCAGCTCCAGTGTCAGCCTCTGCTCAGCATTTTCTTCCTTTTTATCGCTCAAGAAAGACCCAACAGTAGCAGGGTCGGTGCTTCCCCGCAGGACTCACATTTACCCCAGAGCTTCACACCCCATTGTCACAGAATCACAGAATTCCATGGGGTTGGAAGAGACCTCTGGAGATCATCTACTCCAACCCCCTGCCAAAGCAGGTCCACCCAGAGCAGGTTGCACAGGAACGTGTCCAGGTGGGCTTTGAATGTCTCCAGAGAAGGAGACTCCACCACCTCCCTGGGCAGCCTCTTCCAGGGCTCTGCCACCCTCACAGGAAAGAAGTTCCTCCTCATGTTTAGGTGGAACTTCTTCTATTCAAGTTTTTGCCCATTTCCTTTTCTCCTACCCCTGGGCACCACTGAAAAAGGACTGGCCCCATCCTCCTGACACCCACCCTTTAAGTGTTTATAAGCATTGATCGGATCCCCCCTCAACCTTCTCTTCTCTGGACTAAACAGACCCAAGTTCCTCAGCCTCTCCTCATAAGAGAGATGTTTTAGTTCCCTCATCATCTTTGTAGCCCTCTGCTGTACCCTCTCCAGCAGTTGCCTGTCCTTCTTGAACTGGGGAACCCAGAACTGGACACAGTGCTCCAGATGGGGCCTCACCAGGACCGAGTGGAGGGGGAGGATGACCTCTCTCGACCTGCTGGTCACACTTTGTGGTTGAGGCCCCCATGGCCAGCTCTCTCTGAAGAGGAGCAAAACAACAAAAGAAGAATTAGGGCATCAACAGTAAAATATCCCAAAAGGAAAAAAAAATCCCTAAATGTCTTAGGAAGGCAGTGCAGCTCGCACTTGCCAGTGAGATGGGATTTTTGGGGAATAATGACTCATGTTTGATGGTTGGACAGGGCTGAAGGCTGGGATGGCTGTGGCTGAGCCTCTGCTGCGCTGGGCAGAGTAGGTCAGGCGTGGGGCAGCGTGCTGGATCCAGACACATGTTCGGGGCTTTATTTATCTGGCTATTATACGTTGTAGATGACACATCTAATAGATGCACTTAATGCATTTTTCATAATACCCGTGTTTGTTTTTCAGCTCGTTTTGTCTCCCTGCAGCCCCCGCCCTGTTCCCTTCCTCGGGAAGGATTTGGTTTTTGCTCTACTTATTTTTCCCACCACATTAGGCGATAACATGTAAGAGCAGAAATCATGTTGCCTTGTGGGCATTAGGCCAACTGTCTGAAGACAAGCTGCCAAACATCATAAAAAAAAAAAAAGAGAAAGTGTCTAGCACGCTAATTATGTACGTGGTAGAAAACATTTGGGAAACAGGAGAAGGAGGGTACCTTGCACTGCCCATGTGGGACTTGTGGGGGATTTCTTCCATCTGTCATGGAGAGGGCTTGGCTTTTTTTGTCTTTTTCTTTGTATATCTATTCCTTTTTGCAAGGCAAGCGGCCTCATTCTCTATGTTGGTGCTCAAATACTAATTCAGATGAGCTGTGTGATTAAAAACACACTGTCGGGCTGAGCGCACGGTCTTGCTCCAGGCTTGGCTCATCAAAACATCAAACTGCTAAAAACAAATCATGGGAATCTGAGCCTTCAGCTGGGCTGGAGATGCTGAGAAGGAGGGGGGTCATTCCTCCAGCACAGGGCAGAACCCTTGGTGGGAGCCCAACATGAGTTGAGCTGGGTGGTGGATGGGATCCGTCCAGTGGTCGGGCACCTCACACCTGCAGGAGATGGTGAATCGGTGGGAGGAGGAGGAGGAAGAGGAGGTGATGGTTACGGCATTAAGCTCTTTCCACCAGCAATCTGGAGGGGGAATTACTACCAAACTAAAGAGACATGTACTGTTCTGCACCATCTGGTAAAGGGCTTTGGAGACAGAAGAGCAGATCCTGTATCACGGGATGGGATGGGATGGGATGGGATGGGATGGGATGGGATGGGATGGGATGGGGCAGTGTTGCCCCACACCAGCATCAACTGTACAGTGTGGGCTGCTGCGGCTGAATCCTCCTGGGGGTGGGAATACCTTTGCCAAATGGACCTCAGTGAGATGTAAAGGAGCAGAGGTCTTGCTTTGGTACACCACGTGTTGGCTAAAGGTGTAACTCCACCAGGATCTGGGAGCAAAGCACGGCAGGCACCCATCCCAAAGAGGGCAGCAACACGGGGACCATCTGGAGGATCCAGCACACTTACACCTACAGCCAGCATCACTTGAGGAAGGCAAAAGTGGCACCTTACCTGTGTCTGAGGTTACTAGCTGGAGTTGGACCCCGTTACATTGTTTTAACTTCATTTTCAATGTTTAATTATCCTAACTGTGATAACCCAAACTCCCGGTGTGATTTACTGTCTCTTTTTAAGCGTCTGGGTCATAGATATGCTCAGTTAATTAACGTGCTGAATACTCCTTATTTGTCTGCCTGATAATAGATTGATTCATAATTTAAATAAGCAGCTGTGTATATCTTTCCCTTGAACTATAAAAGGCAGGTCGCTGTCATTCATCTCTTTCCATTCCTGAATTTAAATATATTTAGGCAAATATTTTGGTGGGATTCTTAAACTGCAAATGGAGGAGCCCTTTGTGTGTGGCCCCTCGGTGGCAGCGGGGTTCTCTCAGTGCTCTCCTGGTGCCAGTTGTGTGATGCCTGCCCAGTGTCCCCAGGAGCCATCAGCACTGCCTGATGTCCCCAGCCTGCAGCTCCCCAGTGGCCAAGTGGGTCGCTGGAGGCACTGGTTGGTGGGATGGATGGGGGTATGACAGGGACTGCGGGGGAGATTTGGACTTGGTTCCCTGGGGGCTGGTGCCGATCAGTGATTTTCCCCCTTTGGCTCTGCTGGGCTGTGCCAGACACACCAGCAGCATCATGTGTGGGCCAGAGCAAGGCTGGCTTTCCAAGCGTGTGAGAAGCCACATTATGGGCCACCATGACCGGCCAAGGCAGCTGGATCCAGCCAAAAGCCAGGGGAAATCATCCATGGCCACAACCCACAGAGTGTTTGGGCCCAAAGGAGGCTGGAGCAGTGATGGGTTTAAGGCTCAGAGTTATTCTTACCCCTTCCCTGTGCCTCAGATCCTCAACTGCACCTGCAAAGCTCCAAAACAAGATGAAAAAAAGGCTGGAGAAGCTCCTTTTTTTTCCCCCCCCTCATCAGTTCTACTTTCTCTGTGCACCATCCGCACAGGTCTTTTCCAGGGGCTCTGCAAACTTCTCCTTTCCTCTTTTGTAATGATGCTCCAGAGATACTGATGGTCATTTTCCTCTCCTTCCCTGCCCCCCCCAGCTTGCTCGCTACACCAAGGAGGGCTTCCTTCACCTCGGCGCCCTCGGGACCACGACTCTCCTACCTGATACCCGCTGCCTGGTGGACAACGTGAAAAGCCGCTTCCCTCAGCTCCTCGACTGCGAGAAGGTCAAGAGCAGCCTCCATAAGCGGTGGAATTTCATACAGGTCTGTTGACACATACTGATGACAGGGACTGCCTCTCTGCTTCCCAAACCATGGCACATCATCTTTGGCGTGGGACAGTGGGGGACAGGGATGAAATGGTCCTGTGTGACAGCGGGTGCCAGGTCCTAGGGCAGAGGGAAAAGGTTAAGAGGGATCAGGGGCAAGGACAGTGTTTTAGGACAATTTCCAGTAGAAGTTTCCCTTCCTGGTACCCTCGGGTGTATGTAACCCACCCTGTGGATGACTTCCAGATTTCTCTGTTTCTTACAGATAATCTGTGGTGAAATGCATGGAAACATGGTACTTTTTTTCCCAAAGCAGAGGGTAAATAAAATACACTGTACACCTTCCTAGTGCAGGGGTGCAGACATGCTGTTTCAACACTACAAATGCTCTTTGGTTGCTGATGTGTTGGAGACCCGTTGCCAGTGGAAAAGGTTGCTCATTCGATTCACATTGATTATTCCAGGAATTATTTTATTGTTTGAATTGCCTTACAGCCCAGCTAAGTGCTGTGCACTTCCCAGCAATGCACAAGGACACAGCTGCGCTCCTGGGCAGCGTGTGGTCCTGGCTGGCTTCACAGGCCACCCCATGCCTTTCATTTTTTTAATATTTTCTCCATTTCCTTTAATTTCAGAACGGTGCCATCCTGAACAAGGGAACGGGACGATGCTTGGAAGTGGAGAACAGGGGAATGGCCGGCATCGATCTGATTCTTCGCAGCTGCACAGGACAAAGGTGGACGATTAAAAATTTCATCAAGTAAAGGGTGGAAGAGTCAGAGGAGTTTGGCTCGAAACGCAGCTGACTTGGACTAATCACACTGGACTCCTTTGGAACGGACGAAATATCAAAACAGAGCTTTATTCATGTTATTAGGAGAGGACATGGGGGAAATGGGCATTTGTGTCTTTTTATTTTTCTGTATATTAGTCTCCCACAGCTGATTCCAACTGTGTGAAATTGGGTCAGAACTGCTATTTTCTTCTGGCAAGCACTCTAAAAGGTACCACTTATTTCTGCTGGAATGACTGTAATAAGCTCATGCAGACTTTTGAGCATTTTACTGACAGGGAATTGTTGCTTTCCCAGACAACTTCGAGCTCTCCCAAAGGGCTGGGTAGGTTTGTACCGCGGTCGGAGTCGAGAGACCCTGGATGTTCCTGCCTGGCAGCATGAAAACTTACATGCATGTGAGAGGAGAAAGTTGCCAAGCCCCGGACAAACTGAGGTTGAAAGATGTGGTGTTTTGCTTGGTCCTCTCTGTCTTTCCTCTTTCTGGCCCCTGCACCTGGCAGCCCTGTCCTTGAGTCTGGGAGAGGTAAACCTCAACCTGGTAGCTCCCATGGATCTTTCCAACCTTTAATCACAGATGTCGTCAAACAAGTTACATTGAAAAACCACACTGATCTCCCATTGCCCCCTTTCCATTGCCCACAGGCTCCTGTTGGCCAAGCCAGCCCCGGGAAACACCAGTCCCTCCCATGGAGACCCCAAATGGGTTCCTTTTGGAAAAGACCTTGGGTGTCTACCTGCCTGTTTGGGCAGTTGCCTATTCTTTTGGGTGTCAGTTGGACTCACACATGGGGAGTAAAGTTTGGAGGGTGCTTCCTACCCTGTGGGAGCCTGGTGAGCTGCAGATCCACCTTGCCCTCCCAGCTGGGCCTGGCACTGTCTTCTTGGAGACCCACCTTTATGCTGCTTTTGCTCTCTTCTTGTAGAAGTGAGGGTGGATGTGCCAGTGTGTGCAACAGGCTGGGAGCAGGTAATGCGAGAGAATGTCCCACTTGGCTTGCCTCCCATGAAGTCTACAGGGTTTGTTTTTAAGGCATCCTTGCTCTGAACGAAGACATCAGGAATGGTAGTCTCCATAACTTTGTAGTGGTGGTCTCTTCTTGAGGCTCGAACCTGTCCTGCCTGGTCAGAGTGTGACTGTGGTCAAGGTCCACCCCAAACAGTGTGTGTTGCTGCAGACCTTCATGAGCTGTGGTGAATTAAGAAAGGGAAAGGGAGAGGAAGAGACCAATAAATGGCAGTTTGGCTGAGATTCTTGACCTTGAAGTCACGTGAGGCTTTTAATATGGTGGGGTGGTCTCACCTGCTTTTTTTTTGGCCCACAGCTACCAAATCTACCCAGTCGTCATGGGAGACCGTTGGTTTGGGGTCCCAATGTCTGGAAAAGGGAAATGTGATCTTGCAAAGTTGCTTTACATGGATGCCAGACTAATGGGTGGATACAGACTTCACCCAGCAGAGAGGAGAAGCCAACCCATCTCCTGTCCTTCTCATGGAATAAAACTCTTTCTGGTTGCCCTCTGGCTAGGGTGCACTAAAATATATTAATATATGAGATGTATGTGTAAATATGTTTCCCAAAGACGGGATGTGCACAGAGTTGTTTGCTGCAGAGCACTCATGCCTGTCTTCCATTTGCATCAGGATGAAGCTACCTGGATGTTTAATGAGTTTAATTTTCAATGCCATGCAGCAGCTTTATAACTGATGTTTTAGTAATTTATTGAACAGAAGCAGATATATTTCATTGTTCCTTCTACAGCCATAAGCATCACATAGGACTGATTGTTCATTTAGGCTTGACAAGGCTTCCTCATCCACTGGGGTTATCTCTGATTTTTTTTTCCCTTGCCTTCCTTAATGAAGTAAAACTTCTTAGTTGTCCTGAATTGCAAAGTAGGGAGTCAATGTAGAATTTTGCTCTCTTATTCGCTGTTGCATCATCTCTTGTGTAATAAATTTTAGCACTTACAAAACCAACACGATCACAATCTCTTTAGATGCATGGTATGTTTCCCCTCGCATTTGTTGCTGCCTTCTAAGAAAGGCAATTTACTGATGAAGTGGACTCCAGGAAAGTCTGGGGGATTTGAGACTTCACAGTTAACGGTCAAAATGGTAAAATGCCCTTTAATTGAGCAATCCGTTTGCTGTCAGTCATCAGTGGAAGCCACATACCCCTTTAGTGTTGGGAAAAGCCTGCGTGTTCCAGGATAAACAACCAAAAAGCCCTTGGATGTTGCCTGTGCTATAATTCACGGTTCCCAGTTCAGCTCTCGTCCTGCCAGTGCTCGGGGCGCCAACAGATGGGCTTTGTCAGATTTAATCGTGGTGGTATAAGGTGTCACCGCCCCCAGCCTTCCATCTGCTTCAGCTGCCGGAGGTTTCTGTCCCCGTCACCGGCAGCAGAAACGAATGTGTGGCTGCACCTCGGCCGCCCTAATTGGCAGGACGTGCTTCGGCTGCCAGGCAGCAGGGACTTGCTCTGTTTAACGCACGGGGTTGTCAGCCAAAGTCACTCTGGGATGGCCACACGGCTCTGCTGGGGACACAGCCACCCCCCGGTATCTCCAGCTGCCCCTGGAGGTGATGTACCTCCTCAGGAGCTCTCCCTCAGGAGACACAAGACGACCTGGCAATGAGGATCCTGTTAGTTCATGGGCTCCCAGATCCCTTAAAATACAAAGGCTCAGAACTTCATGCTCCAAATGCCTGAATATCCAAAAGGAAGGGACTGGTGGAAAGGAACACTTGGCTCCAGGACCCTCCAGTGGGGCAGGAACCCTGCTGCGGTGGCTTGCCCGGTCTCACTGGTGTACATAGAACCCATTCAACTGACTGAAAAGCAGCAGCATGAGTAAAATCAGGATTAAAAGTGAGAATTTAATCGGCCGTGTCCGTGTAACTGAAGTTCTGCTCTGACATTGGTTGGTGACATGCAGAGATGATTGCTGAGGCGACGACCCGAGGTCTGCACCCTCCTAAACCGTAGAAATCTGTCTTAGGAATCTGGATCTAAATGTTGCATCTTGCGCTTATCTCTAATAATATGTTAATTGCTTTAAAAAGTGATATCGAAGTGGTTCTTATTAAATATATGATTTGAGCCTTGCCTCTTGAGTGATTTTAAAAAGATTCACTGCTGATGAGATACAGAGGCAGTCATTTTTCTCTGTTACTTATTTAATAGAAAAGTGCTGCTGTTTTAATGGAACTTCCATTTTAAAAAGAAATGGAAATGAAGGAGAAATCAAGAGAGATGGCGGATGCAGATTAACCTCCCGTTTCATCCATCCCTGCTGGCTGCCACTCACCAAGATAATGCAGTTACATTCAAGAAGCTGAAAAGAGACATTTCATGGTAAAAAAGCATCGGTTGTGTTCCTGTACCCAGGCTGGGTGTTTCTAAATATAACCCCGAGCTTGGGGCACTCCTTAGACCACTTTCTTCCATCCATGTTATCCTAAAAACCAGGTTGGCGGGTGATGTGGTGTCCCTGTAAGGACAGTGAGGTACGGGTAGGTATAGGGATGTATATCTGTGGGTGCACCGTGTAATTAGGGCACTGTTGAAGTTCTCCTAGTGGGAGCAGCATCTCTCCCACCCAAAGTGAAGACACAGTAGCCTCTTAGCGTGAGTCCAGGTAAGTGTGGCCTCCAACCTTGGGTGTGGTTGGGCAGAGCTTGGTAGATCCATCATGAATTGTCCCATTGCACCCACCTGAAGGATGACAGAAGACTGATGGAAGAAAACCCATGCTCTTCTTATGTGCATTTTACAAGCTCAAGACCTTCTAAAGGGAAAGGTCTGGGTTAGAGAGCAGTACCATCCAACGTGCTTTACGGCGGATTGGAGTCAACGACGAGCTCTTACTCTTTCCATGCCCTTAGCAGGACCTTTGTGCTGTCCAGGGCAGAGAGCCAAACTTTCTTAAAGTTCCCTCAGAGCCCTCAAATGAAGTTAAAGCACCTCCATTTCGAAGTCAAAACTTTAGCTCATGGACTCCCAATAGAAAAGCCTGTCTGCTTGATGACTGAGCAATTTGGGCACTCATCCTCTGCTAATAGATACAGATTTAAGTGCTCCACTATGCAGTGGGAAATTAGGCATTTGAAATCTCAACAGCTCGCTTTTGCAGATGAGAAGCCATCTCTTATTGGGCTGACGAGTAGGAAAAGCGTGTATCTTTAGGAATTAGGAATCTCAGCTGGATTTCCAAGGGCATTGGGATGAAGTATTAAGGGCCCTTCCCTGTCACTGCTGAACTAAAGTGGTCCGTAGATGGTGCTTTAAACATCAGAAAAACTTTGTGCCAGCTTTAGGGACGCTTCCAGCCCCACCAGCCTGGTGCTGGGAAGGTGAGGGGCTGAGGTCTTCTGTATTTTTCCTGAAAGGCCAAGATTCTGTAGGTGGATTGATCCTGTGTGTTGGGAGGAGGTGGTTCCTGGAATCACTCTTCTTATAAATCAGAAAATTCCCCAAATTATTAATGGCTTTAAATCTTCCTGCAGGCAGGAGCCACACGACGCGCTGAACCCAGTAAAGCTACTCACCTTCAGGTTTTCAGCTAAGTTGACCCTGGTGAGACTGGGATCTCAGCTGCACCTTTTGCTTAGAAGCAAAGTGACAGCATCCTTCTAGCAACACATTCAAATAAAACACCATAGCAGAAATGATGAGCTTGAAATCCCAGCTCAGTGATCTCTGGTTATCCAGGGTGTCTTGTCAAGAGCAAGCAGGTTAAGAGTCACATCCCAGGGGAATCACTGACGATGTCTCCACTGGGGCAGCAGCTGGAGCCATCCTTGGCTCATCACCCCTGGGGCGGTCCCACCTCTGGGCTGAGGTAGGAATTTATAGCAGAAATTAAAAGCATCAGTTCCTATTTACAGGAAGTTCGGGTTATTTATACAAGCCCCAGCTGAGAATTTGGCCCAAGTGCTTTCGATCATGCTGGAGCTGAGACACCTTCACGCTGGTTGTGCTCAAGGCAATGCTATGTATTGGGGAAACAGTAACCCAGGAATTAGCTCCAGGGTCTCCTAAACTGCTAAGTATTTATTTTGAAGGCACGCAGGAATCGCTACCTAGAACAGCCATCCTGATCCTCTGTGTCAAGTGTTGTTCCTCTGGCAGAAGGCAAAATAACAAGAAGAAAGATTGTATAACCCTGGAGAGCCTTCCAGAGGAGGAGTTTCTTATTTTATTCCCATCTGGTGGGTCTGAGACGTGATGGGTAATAGCTCTCCAAATGTCTTCCCTGGCTATTGTAATTCTAGGTTTTATTGTTATAGGCAAGTATTTCATAGTTAGGCAAGAACCCATGCAGGAACTAATTTCTTATTGTGCTCTTCAGAAATCACAGCCGGGAGGAAAATAACAGCAGAGTGGGGACGAGGTGATTTGCTGGGCTGAGATGCAGAATTGTCACCCAGCACTAAACCGGCAACAACTTCTGGCATTTTGAGAGAGGAAGAGCTGCCACGAGGATCATTTTAACCATGCAAGCTCCCCCTGAGGAGGCTGGGTTATTTCCCTCAGCGTTCCTCAGCCCTGAAAATAGTGCTCGAAGGCTCATCCTGGGAAAACTGGCCCAGCGATGCGGCCCCGTGTGATGGATGGTGCAGAGCCCCAACGTGGGTCATTGTCATGGAGGCCCCCGAGGCTGCAGAGACGTGTGGTGGGTCTGACCTTGGCTGGCTGCTGGGTGCCCAGCCAGCTGCTCTTCCGGCCACCCTCCACAGCAGGGCAGGGGGAGAAGAAAATAAGATGAAAAAGCTTGTGGGCCAAGAGAAGGGCAGGGAGATCACTCCCCAGTTAGCATCATGGGCAAAACAGGCTTGACTTAGGGAAAAATAATTTTATTTGTTGCAATTAAAAAGGGAGAGGGATAGTGAGAAACAAAACTAAAAACACCTTCTCTGCAACACCCCTTATTTTTCCAGGCTCAGCTTCACTCTGTTCCAGAATTTTCTGCCTCCTCCCCACTCCCCAGGTGGTGCAGGTGGGTGGGGAAGAGGGGCTACAGTCAGCCCGTAACACAATCTGTGTCCATCCTTCCTCATATTCTTCCCCTGCACCATCGTGGGGTCTCTACCATGGGATAAAGTCCTTCACAAACTCCTCCAGCATGGGGCCCCTATAGGCCACAGTTCCTGCAAGAAAACTTGGTCCAGGGTGGGGTCTCCATAGGCTGCAGCTTCCTTTGGGGCATCTCCACCTGCTCCATGGGCAGGTCTCCATAGGCTGCAGTGTGGTATCTGCTCCACCATGGTTTCCTCAATGGGCTGCAGAGAACAATGTCCTTCACCGTAATCTTCTCCACTGGGTGCAGAGGAAAAATCTGTTCCAGCACCTGGGGCACCTCCTTCCCCTCCTTCCCCTCCTTCTTCACCAATCTTGGTGTCTGCAGGGTTGTTTTCTCACACACTTTCCTCACTCCTCTCTCACAATAGCTGTGCAGCAATTTTTATCCTTTCTTAAATATATTATCCCAGAGGTGTCACCAGCTTCATGCTGGGCCCAGCTATGGCCCGCAGTGGGTCTATTGGAGCTAGCTGGACCCTGAGTTGGATCTTGCTTTGCCCCGTGCCTGCTTGCCCAGCTGGGACCCCATGCAGCTCCTGGAGTAAAGCAGGGGACAAGTGAGCTCTGGTTGTGGAAGAGAGGGATGAATTATGATGGAAAGGAGGAACGCCCCTTGCCAGCGGTGATTTTGCAATGACTCAGAGCACCTGAGGAGCTGCTATGCCTTTGGAGGGGTTTCTTTGGCCAGTGCTGGCTCCAGGCCAGGCAGCCAAAGGACTGTTGCCCCAGGGTGGGGAGGAAGGCTTGGTGGGGAGACAGATGGTGTGGGACCGACCCTTCCAGCCATGGCCGTGGGGCTCTGCCGTGACCTGCTCCCTTTGCCCACCCTCCCTGGGACCCTCATCATCCCACAGGGACGCTCAGGAGCATCATCTGCCCTGGCATTGCCCTCCCATGCTCTGC